GCTGCCGCGTCTTGCCGAGTCCCGGCGTTGAACGTGCGAGTCCCGCGCCCCGCGCCCGAGAGCAGGTGACGGCCCCCCGCCCCCTCTCAGAGCCGGCTGCAGCTCCCCCGCGCGCTGCGCTGGACACCGCTTCTCCTGCTCCCGGTACAGAGAGCTGCGGCTTGACAGAGGTTTAGGATGCTGGGCTTGCTCGGGTCTCACATGGCAGTAGCTAGAAATGAGGAAACCAAGGGCCAGGGCAGTGGCCGTTCCTTAGCACACGTGTGTTGGGCAGCACAGCACCTCGTTATAGGTGGAGGCACTGGGCAGCTAATACAAAGATGATGCAGGAGCTGCAGGTCTCTTCGCTTTAGCCCTAGGCCCAGGAGAAGCCTAGCTATAAAGCAGCCGGAGGAGTCCCATCCTCAGGCAAAACCCAGGCCCAAGGGAAAGGGACAGCTCCCCAGTGCCTTACCATGGAGCACCTCTGATGCGTGCTGTTACTCCAGTGTGCGCATCTTCACAGCCAGCTGTGGAGAACCCAAAGGGGCTCCTAATCCAGTGTCCAAGGAAGGTTTATTAAAAGCCCATACCTGATGTTTAAGGCAAAACTCAATTCTTGAAAATAAGTTCTCCCATGGAGAAGCAAGAGTGCATTGCGCCCTCTCCTTGTCTTAACTCCCTTCCTACAGTCAAACATGAGGAAGGCAAGACAGGCTACAACCAAATAAACAACCACCGCTGCATCAGGGATCAGGGAACATCTGCCAGGCAGGATGTTCTAGGGCTCTGCGTTATCCCAACCACTCTAAAAGTATGATGAGCCTACAGGTCCCAGGAAAATTTTTTCCGTAAGGCTTTTATTAGAAGCCCTCCCAGGCTTGGGGTGAGAAGTAGAAGCGATTGAATAACATACATCAATGTTAACTAAAGAATGAGAACTAAGTGGCACCATCTGATCTGGAAACCTCCAAACTCCTCCACATCTAGTAAAGATTATGGACCAAACTATTCTTTTACTCAGTGGAATAAATCAGAGCCCAATCTCTGAGGTGAAATGAATAATATACAGAAGGTGGTAAGAATAATTTTATTGTATTATTAAATAGCATGTCTTCTCTTTAACCATTACAAATCTGTGGATACTACATGAATGACAATACATAATTTATATTTCTATTGTTGCCTGTATGATATATTTACACATGCAGTTAGTACAGATGCCATGCTACGTTTCGTCATAGCAGAATATGCCCGACTTAAAATGTGAGCATTTCATCATCTATAGGAAAATACCTCTTGGTGGGTGGAATGTGTGCACTAACCTGTGCTCACAAAGTCAGGATCATCAGCATTTCAGGTTGGACTCCTAGAGTGTGTTCCCTTTTCTTCCATAGTACACAGCATTGGAGCAATGAATTTACATTGGAAAAGTGCTTCTTTATGTAAGAATAATATACATCTAGATCCAGCAGCCTGATGATAAAAGGCTACATACTCAGAGCAAAAGAGCATTTACTACTGATACCACATTAGAAAAATATTTGGAAGCCAAGCATAATCAGAATTTCAGCACAGTGATTTTTCTTATTTCCGGTATAGTTTATGGCATCACCTGCACAGTTATGAAATAATATATTGCATTGTAAAGGAAGAGTTGGTGCTGATAGCAAGTTATGTTTTGTTTGGACTCTGAAATGCTAAAAGACTGTTTACTTTAAGTATTTTATTCTTATAACATAAATAAATCTGTACACATCCTGTGCATTAACATATGACCTTTAACGAGGACTTTACAAATGCATCTTCAATTTAAAATTGTACATTCATTTTCAAATTGTACATATTTATTTCTTTGTTACAGAGAAAATTGCGATGGGACACAATAAATATAGTGTATAAGACTGCAGTCTCCAGTTCCGTGTATGGCTTGAGGTTAACCACAGCATTAAAAGTGGCTACTTTAGATATCTTTTCATCCTGGAAGGTAAAAGGTGCAGAGAAGAAACTGCACTAAAAAAAAAATATGGCATCCTGCAATTTGATAAAAAATAACAAAAGCTAAAATATTAAGATACAAATAAAATTCCAGTGTCACTGTCTAAAATAAATGTACAGGAAAGGGCTATGCTGGGGACAGGACACGCACATCAGGGACATTTTCCTTTAACTGACAGTTGTGGGTCAGCCTATGAGGGGCTGCTGCTAATTGTTTATTAGAAAGCTGCAGGTTCTCAACACTTAGGACTTGTTGGCTGAGCCAGAGGAGCGGCGTAGTTTCATGGACATTCGGCTCTTGCTAGTCCGAGGAGACATTGGAGAGGCTAAGTCGGTCCCGTCCACCTGTGCCGTTGCTGCTGCTGGAGTTTCGCCCAGCTGGGTCTCTGGGCAAGAGCCTGAAGGGGACAGCAAGAACCAAGCTTGTTAGTACAGCTGCCTTGCTCACAGCAAGGGAATCTATACACAGGGGAACAGTTGGGAACTTCAGTGTTGCCACCAACCCACAGCATATGCCAGCCCGTTACTGACTGTGGGAGACTTTGTTACATGTGGAGGCAGCAACAGATACAAATCCACCTTTAGAGGTGAAAACTAAAAACTTTATAAACTACAAGGTTGTATAACACTATCCTATTAGCCATGAGGACAAATACATGTGAAGTTTCTGAGCAGGGATGGAGAGAGTTATTCAAACTATGACTAGAGTTCAGTCTGTGGTAAGAACATGGAGGGTTAACAGCATGGTGAGCATGCAGGGGGGATCTAGACATGCAACTGAAAAGGTGGAGTGGGAAAGGGCAATGGAGGGCCCCCAGGGATAGCATCTAATACTTAGTCAAAGCTCCTGAAGGCAAATGCTTACAGGACCCACAAGGCAGAAGCTTGAACAGATTACATTAATTATACAAACTAGGTGTTTCATTTTCTTTGTAAAAGGAACAAGATGAATTTGAGGTTGCAGTATATGCGATCCGTTACATGAGTGTTCCATGCTGATCTACAGTGGGTCCTGAGTTTTTATGTTGGAACTCATAAGGAAAAACATACCAAATCCTTTCCCATAAAAAGAAGCCAAAGGAAAAGGAGCAAGTATGAAATTAAAATTATGTTCTAATTCTCTCTGTGCCCATTACGCCCCTTTGCACATTTACAGCAGATATACACAACTAGTTTGCTGTCACCTATTTTAATTACAGAGCTTGGTACATTGAACGTTACTGATCATTCTGGCCTATACAAATTAGGGATGAAATCATGGCCCTACTGAAGTCAAAGGTAGCCCTTTCAATGACTTCAGTAGGGGCAGAATGTCACACTGTATTTCTTCCATACCATGCTAGCATGGGGTCTTCCCTAAGATAATGATATATCAAAACCTAAGCTACCAATCTTCAGCACAAATTTCATTCATGAAATAACTTCATTACATTTTTAAAAGTCTCTGAACACCATTTACTTTGAAGGATCCCCTAAAAGGGTTAGTGAATCATGGATCATCAGAAGTTTAGCAGTGCATCTCACACGTACTATTACAGACCAAATGATTTAATTACTTAGACATTCTATGTCTCTGGGCCAGCACCTGCCTACTCCAAAAAGACTGCACAATTCTTTCCCTCTTGTTTGAACTGAAGCAACCCACCTAAATGATAGGGAAGGATAAATACACTGTTACATGTTCCCCAGCAGGTGACAGTAATTTAGTTCACAAACTAGGTACCACATTGCCAAACAATCTGGGAAAGCATGATAATGCCTGACTCTCAGAGCCTTCCAGAAAGCCAAGTAGGAAACCATGCACCTTTCTTCCTTTTCTGAAATTTTATCTTGTTCTAATTTTACAAGGAATAAAAGCATTTCAAATGGTGGTTAGAGAATAGAAAATAATCATTGTTCTTTTGCACAGCATACCATTCACAGCTAGCGTGAAAGACCTTCCGTTTCAAGCCTTTGCCCTTTACCTTGATGTGGCCAATGCTTTCTAGTGGAGGTTTTGGAAGGAGAAGAAATATCACAGCATTTCTTTCTTTGTTGAGAATGAAGTGATGAGGAAGGAGAAGTGGACAGAAGTGAGGAAGGGGGAAGAAAGATAAAAGATAACAGGTGTCAGGTATGAGACACGAATGGCAAAGACTGAAGGGCATTAACAGGTGAGGTAGACCAGACAGAATTTAGAATTTCAATATGCAACTGCTGTTCATGCTACAGGTTAAGAGAGTGATGGGTTAGTATGTGTATGAAGCAACAACTCTGAAGTTATACTTACCGACTAAATGTTACAAGGAGAAAGGAAGAAAGAGAGAAAGAAAAAAGTTCTATAAAATAATCTAGATCCAGCAGCCTTATTTAAAACCAATGTGATGCATCTCAACTATTCTGTCTAAAGAGCTTTCTTAAATTCTGTGAAAATAGTTAAACACACACATACACAAACACACAAATCTAGAAGGAAAAACAAATGGTAATTCGATACTTGGCTTCTGCTCACCAGTTAGGTTTCATATTTTTAAAATGCTGGAATTATTCCCAGCCTAAACAAAGAATCCTTGAAGAGCTGTTATGGAAAAATATCCCAGCATAACATCTGAGCAGTATAGTGTTAAGTCAATGAGTAAATCAGACCTTCGGGTTTCACCCAAAATGTCAGAACGAATTTAAATTCATACTCTTTCAAACAAGCAGCAACCATACTGGATAAAAAAGTACTTGAAAAATAGCCTAGTTTTTTATTAATGTATAGCTCTTGTACACACATTTTGTATAAAATTACTCAAGATAGCCATCAGAAAACGTAAAGCTATCTATTATCTAAACTCTTAAGCACATGTATCAGACTGGCTTACTGAAGAACAGAAGTCATGTAGTGTGTATTCCACATCCGAACAGTTTAGACAAGAAGAGTGACGAATAAATGGCACTTAAAAATATTTTAATCTGACAACAAAGAATGCATTGATTAATATTCCAGATCTCCTGGCAATGTATTCCATGCACCTTGTATGTATCAATTTGTAGTTTTAGTTTCTGTTTCAGATTTTATAAGTTTTCAGTGCAAGCATTACGTCTTTATATTTCTATGCAATGAATGATATGTTTATGATTACTCAAACTATAAAAGTAAAGTTAAGATAAAAAGACTTAGGAGACAGATTAATTCAAATTAGAAAACCTCACTCATTATTAGGACCGCCCATCACATGACAGTATTTTAGTAGCTTAAGTTTTGACAAACTTTAATTGTTTGGCATCCCAGGTGCATGCTGCAGGCTCATTTCCTTAATGTTTCAGCCAAAACAGTTCAGTACTTGATGACAAAGAGGATAAGGAAAAAATGTTCTGTTCATGTTAAAAAATGCTGGTGAGTTTCACAGAACCTCTAGCATTCCCACACTTTGAAGGAGAGATCTGAAATTTGCCAGGGCAGTCATCTGTGTCTCATCCCTGTAAAAATCTGCCCACATTGTACATCTTTGAAAAACTACCTTTATTCACATCTGCTCAACAGAGGATGACTAGCTAGGTCAGGGCTGTCCAACATGAGTGGCCTGTGCAGGCACTTGCTGCATGGCTCTTGGGCCACACTGTGCTCTGTACGGGGTAATCCTCTGCCACACCATGTGGTAGGCACCCCCCACTACACTGTGCCAACACCCCTGCTCCTTACACATTGTACCACATTGTCCGCTGTTGCTGCAGTGTGTTGGTGGTCCCACATCACGTTAGTTCCTGGGTCCTCTGTATGTGGACTTCCTCAACTGTGTTGCCCCACCCCTGCGGGGCAGAGGAAGGGGGAGGGAGAAACAGGCAGGGGAAGCTGGAAGAGGGAGAGGGAACTCTGGACACTGGCTGGTGCCAGCCGGAGTGGTGGGGGAAGCAGCACCTGGACTGGGAGCCCTGGGCTGCAGCTTAACCCTTTGGTGGCTGCATGCGACCCATGACCTGTGCCAGTTGGATCACCCTGAGCTAGGGATTTAAAATCTCCAACAATTCTAGCAATATTAGGCATGCTCCAAACCAGGAACTGGCTGGGACCATCCCTACAATTTCTGCTCAGAGCTGCTGTTGCAGGGCAGGCTTGTTCAGGGTTTGACCCTGGAACTGGCAATAGGGAGCCTCTCTCTCCTTTGCTCTCTCGACCCATTCAATCAGGAGGAAGATGCTTGTTCTGAATGCACAGGAGTCAATTGCCATACTAGAGTGGAGGGGTAGACTGAAACAGAGCAAGGCAAGGGAGAGGCACCTTTGACTGGAGGCTGATAATGTGGGGAGAGGTTAAAGGAGGAAGGGAACATAGTAAGTCAGTCAAAAAGGAGATGGCTACAGGGAATGGAGTCATATCTAATGATAAATCAGGTACAATTAGTTGAACATAAACTGGGACTGACACCTGCTGGAGGGAGGCGGGGGCACATTGGATTAAGAACCCAGAGGGGGATATTAGAAATCAGGAGAAGGTGAGGAGGGAGGAGAAAGGAAACTAGGGAAAGGTGACAGATCAGACAAGATATTAGGGGCCCTGGACTGGGAACTGACTGGGCAAAGAATGGAATGGAAAGCCCAAAGGAAAGGAGACTGGAACTAGGTAGACAAGGACTAGAAAAGCAAGAAAGAAGAGGCAGGCATGAGGAAGAGAGAGGATCAGCACAAGGCAGTAGGGGTCAAATTCAGGGAATATGAAGAAGAGTCTGTGTCCAATAGTGAACACTCTCTTAAGCAAACCAGATTGGAATCCAAGATTCCTGGGTCTAACCATTCCTTTGTTATCAGCAACTCCATATTAAATTCACTGGGCAAAGTGCCCCATCCCCATCTACTATTGGTTCACATAGAGGGTGGCGCCTCACTACTGCTACAAATTGCTCTATTAATGCTGAAGCCTGTGTGGTGTACCTGAAGGATCCAA